AAGACTTGAGGGCGTCCGCTGTGTCTTAAGCATTGCAGCTGAGGAGAGGCTGTTTCTCCATCAATTTGACGTCAAAACGGCCTTTCTCAATGCTGAGCTTAATGACGAAATTTACATGAAACAACCGGAAGGAAAGGATGACGGATTAAAGAAAGTCTGGAGACTCCTACGTGCCATCTATGGCCTCCGTCAGTCACCGTTCGAGTTCAGCCAGAAACTCAAGTCCATTCTTCTGAAGAAGGGTCTGAGTCAGAGCAAGACTGACCCTTGCATTTTCTATCGAAATGGGGCAGAGAGAATCATCGTTTGCATCTACGTAGACGATGGCCTGTGCGCAGGAATAACGAAGAAGATCGTACTTCAGTTCATAGATTCTCTCGGTCAAGAACTTGAGATAACATCACAGCCTCTTTCGTATTTCCTCGGAATGCAAATCGAAACAAATGAGAACCATGATATTCACATACATCAAACCAAGTATGTGAACGAGGTTCTCAAGCGATTCAACATGTTCGATTGCAAACCTGTTTCAACTCCCTGTGACTCAGGCATTTATAACATCAAAAATACAGGAACGACCACTCTCGAGAACTTCCGAGAATTGATAGGATCAGTCCTCTACATGACCAGTGGCTGTCGCATCGACGTGGCTTTCGCCAGCTCATACCTTAGTCGTTTCCTAGACAAATGCACACCTGAGCATCTGGAGGCAGGAAAGAGGATACTTCGATACCTGAAGACATGCCCATCACTCGGCATCACATACAAAAGCAACTCTGACGAAAGAACAGTGGTATTCTCTGACGCAGACCACGGCTCAAACATTGAGGACAGAAAGTCGACGTCAGGAACACTGATCATGAGACAGTCAGGACCAGTCGTGTGGAACACGACAAGGCAATCAAACATCGCTCTCAGTTCGTGCGAGTCTGAATTCTATGCAGCAGCAGAAAGTGTAAGAGCAGCCCAATGGTTAATCAAGCTATTGAGAGAATTAGGCAAAGAAGAAAAACTTACAATTCAAATGGATAATCAAGCAGCAATCAAGCTCATCAAAAATCCTCAGTTCTATCGACGAACAAAACACATCGAACTAAAATACTTCTTCATCAGAGACCACTACGACAAAGGAGACATCGATATTGCCTACATACCGACGGAGTACCAGCGAGCCGACTGGCTGACCAAGCCACTCAACAAATCGGTATTCCTGAGGCAGCGTGAGCTATCCGGTCTAACAGTCTGGAAGGCATGAGGCTAACAATAGCACCCATCATATTAACCCTCATAGCCTATGCTCACGGATATTTTTCGTACAATGATTGCGGTGACGAATGCAAATCACGTGGTCAATCATGTCTTATAAGAAAGTCAATCGGAGACATGTTTCACATACAGTGCGTGAGCACTACGGTGTGTCAGGACAATGCTGACGATGAAACACCTTGCATCTCCGAAGATCAAGCCACATTAGGAGGCAGAGAATTATGGATCTGGTACAGACAGAGACCAATCCCTCCCAAACCAATTGTAAAAGAAGACTGCGTGATTTGGAAAGTAGTCACTACTGCAGATATTTTATTTTCAACAATCATAACAAGCATATACCTAATAAGGAAGTTAAATAAGAGATTGCGAGCCAGGTATCAAAGAGTACCTGAGCCCACCGAGGATAATCCCTACCGTCCAACGACGGAGGATGTGAATTCACCGGTGGAACCGCAACCTGATGGTGAACAGGTCACCATCTAGTCGGAAGAATCACTTGAGGAAGACCCTCTCTTCTCCTCCTCCAGTTCGGCCACACGCTTCTGCGCGTCATTCAGAAGCCCCTTCAGTACGCTGACCTCGATCCGGTGCATCCTACGAGTCTTGAGGAGTTTGAGCATACAGAGACGCGCTACATTGCGCTCCTCCGCGCGCTCCTCATCTCCCAATGGAAGATCAAGCCAGTAGTAAAGATTTTCTTCAAGATACACGTCCTCCATCTCTGCCTTGAAAGTATGCCATTCTTCAATGGCCTCGGCGGTAGCTTCTTCGTGGGTCTCTCTACCAGAAAACTCTATTTCATCAATGAGTCTCTGGATGTCCATAAGACTTCTTCCTCCATCAGAAGGCTGGTGCTCACAGAAATACTCTAGCAGGCCGCGGTTGAGTTCCCTGCTACGGGCAAGGGCTTCCGCTGTCTTCTTGTCGACTCCGGTGCCGGTGCCGACGTTCATGGTGGGTGATGAGTGATGAGGGATCTGGATGAGCTGGGAGATTGATGACTGAACACACTGGGTCACTGTGTGATCTTGAGCACAGAGGATTTGGAGGCTAGAGGTAGAGTGAATAGGATCAAAAACAGCATGTCTTTTATACTAAGCAATAACGAAGGAAAGAGTGGTGACTAGAGCGGAGAGTACTCGAGATCAAGTGAAAAACTCAAGCATGAACGACCGAAAAGCTACGAAACACGGTCCGGGTCTCCCCTCAAACCATGAAACTAACCCATGTCCGAATGAATCTAAACAACGCATGTCCAACTAATTGAAGTCGAACAGAGTCTCCTGAGCGAACAGATCGTTCAGAGACCGGTCTTCTAACAAAGCCACCCTAAACCGCATGGCCAAGTTAAAAGACCATTTGGAGCAGATCGGGCGGGGTGCGCTCGAGGGCGAATGTCAGATTAGACGGGATGCATGGGGGCGATTGCTCGCGAGGGTCGGGTACACTGGTGGATAGTCCAAATTCGAGTATGGCCTCGCTTTGCCCAGTCAAACTGTCGGAATTTGGTGAAAATTACATGGCCTGGAAGCAACTGGTACCCACGTACCTAAAATATGACTTAGACGTCTGGAAGGTTGTCAGTGGCGAAATGAAGCCACAAGAGATCATCGCACCTGCGACAGACCTGACTCCGAATCAGTTGATACTGCGGGAGAAATATGAGAAGAACAGCCTTGAAGGACTTCAAATCGTTTACGCCTCTATCGATCCGAATCCCATTCTCTCTTTGTTCTACAATGAGACCCAGACTCTTACGTCGCGGGAAGTTTGGACAAAGCTAGAGAGAAACTTCAAGAGAACCTCTGGATTAATGAGGCAGGGAGCTTTGACAAGGCTTCAAAATTTCAAATGAACAAATTCAAAATGCTTTGTCATGCAGTGACAGACGCAGGGGTTACTGAAAGCACAGAAAATCTGTGCAATCGACTCCTTGATTCTCTGGGACCAGAGTGGCAGAGTTTCATAATCTCCTGGTCCACCAGACCAGAAGCTGACAAGACTCTTGAAGAATTGATTCTCCTGCTCAGGGGTCAGAAGGATCTCGAATATAACGGCTTCGCGGAAGAAGCTCTACCTCGTCAGCGGAATCAATTGGCGCACTATCTACCTCTACAAGCAGTCTTCAAGATGAACAACGATAACACGAAGATCACGAAGACACGAGTGGTCAAAGACGCCGGAGCACGGAGGAGCCACGAAGCAGCACTCAACGACTGTTTACATCAAGGCGAGAACCTACTTCCCCTAGTGCCAGAAGTTCTCATCGCGTTTCGGGAATGCAAATTCGAAATTACCGCCGACATCGAAAAAGCTTTCCTACAGTTCGAGATCAACCCGAGTGACCGAACTTTCCTCAGATTCCTGTGGCCACTCGGTATCTCCGAGAAACCAGACGCCCCCATCAGGGAATTTCGGACGAGAGTTCTTGATTTCGGACTGATCTGTTCACCATGGCTACATATCAAAGGGGTGAAGCACCACTTGAAGGACTGCCTTTAGTCATCCCCCGAGGACCAAGATTTCAGCACAGAAACCTATACATGGACGATGTATGTTTCGGGGTAGACTCCAGGGAAGAGGCGAGAAACAAAATCGCCAGGCTGTTCGATATATTCCAGAGAGCTCACTTTCCTCTCCGAAAATGGTGCACAAGCGACAGGACCATCGCGGAAATCATCGAGGAACTGTCGCCACTCGAGAACACTACAAACACAGCCGGCACCGACGACGCTAAATTTCTTGGAGTGAGATGGTATAACTCATCGGATAGTCTCGGTTTTTTCTCACAGAAAGCTCTGACGGAACTCACTACGAGCAACCCATCCAAGAGAAAACTTCTCAAAGGGCTCGCACAGATTTACGACCCTCTCGGCATCATGACACCCGTCACAGTAAGAGCGAAAATACTGTTCCAATCCCTATGGAAGAGAAAGATCGACTGAGACGACTTCCTCCCAGAAGACATCAGACTCAGCTACGAAGATTTCGTCTCCACGCTGAAGAGATGCGCAGAATTCAGGATAAACAGACCGCTCAGCTCGCTGTTCTCGACAGCGAGTTTCGAATTGCACACGTTCTCCGACGCGTCACTGGGAGCGTACGGGGCAGTGATCTACTTGAGAACGATCGGAAACAACTCAACGGAATCAAGACTCATAAGATCGAAGGCACGAGTCGTCCCCACGAAAGCAAGACGGTCGATTCATCGCTACGAACTCATGGGAGCCCTGATGGCCGCGCGCATGACGGCCAACATCAGAAACTTCCTGAAACTCAAAATCGATCAAGAGTACTACTGGATTGACAATATGGCTTGTGTCTCCTGGATTCGCAGCACACCTGGCAAATGGCAACCATTCGTCGCGAATCGTGTCCGGGAAATCGGCAAACTAACGTCCCCCGAATCATGGAGATATGTGAAATCAGAGGAAAACCCCGCAAATATATTATCTAGAGGTGCAGATATCTCAAATCCAGAGGGCCGTTCTCGATGGCTCCATGGACCCCAGTGGGTGACCGACCCGAGCTGTAGGATTCCTATCGATCAACCCACAATCGAAGAAACGAACGAGGAAAGAGAATCGCAGACGGCGATATGCCTCCACACCGTTGACACCAAGGAAGACGATCCGATCGACAAACTCCACAACCCAACGCGTTTCTCTTCGCGGTCGAAATTCGTGAGAGCGCAAGCATTCTGCAACCGATCGAAAACGCTCGCCCGAAAAATTAAATCCAAACAGTTACACCACAGGAATTCGACTCGCGTTACCACCCTCAATCGAGCCGACGGACTACGGATGAAACCATCGGAATACGAGGAGGCAGAACGCGATCTGATAAGGAGGATCCAAAAGAGACACTTCCCGACAGAGGTCTCGACAAGCGGCAAAGATATTCCGAAGACGAGTACCATCGCGCAGTTCCAACCCTTCATGGATGTTAACGGCATCTCAAGAGTAAGATCCCGTCTGGAGATTTTCCCAAAAACTCTCTGAGCAAAGCTATTCGTTATTCCTCATAGAGCACCAGTCTGTAAGAAACACAGAAAGTAAAGCATGAATCGTCTAATGGGTGCCCTCGTAGTAATCGGCAGAGTACGCGCTCACACGATGAAAACGAACGAGAATGAAACCGTCAGTAGCGGAGTTTCAACGCAGCGAAGGATATATTTTCGCATACCTTTCTCGCCACTAGGGATTTTTCTCTCAGTCTTGATAACCGCGCCCGCAAGCAACGGTCGCGGCCGAGGCCTAGAATTCTGGTATGTGTATAAATCACCCTCGTAACCTAGAGCTTGACCCTCACAGTCTTGGACAAGATGGTCATTTCGAATCCCGAATTTATATCCCGGCGACTTCGTCTCTCGCCTTGTTGGATATAAGTCGGCTAAACACCTTCCCCCGCTACGCGTTGGCATTCATAGCGCGGAGCGGACGTATGTTCCACTTGTAGCCGTGCTGGCTGCAAGCGGTTGCGACTAGAACGACGCAATGGTGCACCAAGAGGTGTCGTAACAGCCACGGGTGAAGGCGATCGCTCAGGAGACGTACTTGCGGGAGAAGACGTCGCGGGTGATTCTCGGAACGACATCATTTGAACATCGTCGGGCGAGCAGGTCGCTGAACTACGTCGTGGAGAACATCGCGGTATGGCGGTTCCAGCGCTTGCCACAGAACCGACGTAAGCGTCCGAATCGATCTGTTATCTGTTATTATCGATCCCATCCTCGTCGCCACTGTTAAGACTCTGACTACGTGGAGTACAATCGTGTTAGCTTCGTTATAACCGAGAGTTAGACTGTATTTCATTTCGACCTTCCTCTATTTATATCCCGGCGACTTCGTCTCTCGCCTTGTTGGATATGAGTCGGCTCAACAGAAGACAACCTTGGGTGGATTTAAAACGTCCGAAATTAGCCGAATAATTTTATTACAGAGCGCGCAGTAAATCGGTAAGAATTCTTTCATGTATACGTAGAGGAGGGATGCATGATTTGGTGGATTCCGTTCATAATGACAATGACACAACTCTCTCTCTCTCTATTGTAAATGCCCTACGCAGGATGCCTGCTCATTTGTATTTAACTTTCCTGCAGGTATGATACAATGATTCTGGTGAGGTAATGCGGGAAAGCTCTGTCCGCACTTTGTCCATGACGATGTTCCAGCGGATCGAATTGAATGCATTCTTAACGACGGGGGGGATAATCATGCATCTCTTTCTTTTCGCCCGAGGTCTTCTCTGCTCCTTCTCGACGTGGTCAAAGACCATTTGCAGAGCGCACCGCTGTCGTCCAAGAAGTCCTGCAATCGGCGGTTTATGACACTTTCAACCGCTTTCGCAGTCGTACCGAGCAGACATATTGGCCGAAAGCACCCCTTTCTGCCGGGTTTCGGGATGAGGTCCGCTAACTTCCATGCGTCGGGGAATACTCCCCTCGCCAGCATGTCATCGATAATCTTCGCGAAAATCTGTGGCCAGCGTTCGATAAATCCCTTCGTGAGCTCTGGCGGGATGCCGTCCGGGCCAGAGGCCTTCCCGGTCGCCATTCGTTCCGCCGCCTGGAGAACTTCTTCTTCGATTGTTCCCGGTATGCTCCCGTTGTCCACCACTGATTGTGTGTGTCCCCTCTCAAACGCTCCGTAGGAGGGGAAGAGCTCCCGTACGGCGGCGTCGACAACGTCCTGGGGGACCTTCAGTCGTTTCTGTCCGATTTTCTCACGGATTATCCTGTAGGATCGTCCCCAAATGTCTTCTCGAAGACTCTCGCAGACTTCTTTCCATTTAGCCTTTTTCTGTTCAAGATCTCTCTCATTTATTCTCTCTTGAGTGCGTCGTACGTGATTTGGTAGTCCGCAGCTGCTTGGGGGGAATATCGATGTGGCGTCGTGCACGGACGAGTTTCCTACAAGCTTTGTTGCAGAGCTGCCTCTTGTTCGCGATCTCTGCGATCCACCAGTATGCTGGGTTTCTACATATTACCCAGGTTTCTGGGTCCTACCGCGGAGGATTCGTCGCGTTCTCCATTCAGTATGTTGATCACGGTCTCTGCATTCACGGGACTTCCGTTCCTTTGGACTCCTCCGCATTTTTCGCTTATCGCTCTATGGAAAGCTTGCTCGTCTAGCCGTTTCGTCCTGAGTCTCGATCTTTGCGATACCGTTTCTCCAGTCGTTGATACGGTGATCGCTGAGCGATTCGATGCTTTCGACAACTCGCCAGTCCTCGACAAGCTGGCCGTGACTCACCATGGGAAGGTATATGAAGGTCTCAGTCTCTCTTCTCCTCGACGAATTTTCGGCGCTCCACAACGCAGTCGAGGCGGCGTTGAAGTCCCCAGCTACCATGATCCTGTGTCTGGGATCCTCTCTAAAAAATTTCGGGCGGGTTTGGTTGGGAACCAAACCTATTCCCGCGTGAACCACGTTCTAACCAATAGATCTGTGAATCATATACGGAAGATTAGAACGAATAGAACTGGTTTCAATATTATTAATCAAATTGGTATTTTCAATTTA